ATAATAATAATAATAATAATAATAATAATAATAATAATAATAATAATAAAAATAATAAAACAACAGAGAATGATGGAAGTTAAAAATTCTTCCAGTAAAACTCTCAAAAGACACCTTGAATACAAATATTTATCTAATTGATGGTGTTTTCTTTGTCAGGAAACAAAACATTATCTCCTGACAGGAGCATCACCCTAGCAGTGGTTCACCATGCCCTGGCCTACCTCAGGTAGGTCCCATACCCCATTTAGACACCCTACGATCAAAACCTCGTGTCTTAAAGCTAACTCTAAATTTATATATATGTTTATAGTGAATAAATTCCTGGATTTGAGCAAGTGTAGGTTGATAATTCTAAGTTTAATCTGATTTTGAGTGGGGGGGGGGGAGGGGTTAAATGTCAAAATAATTCCATAAGGAAAAATTAAACTATGTGTCTTTTATCTACGGAAATTTTCTGTTTGGGATACCAGAAACAGGATAAATTACCACACACCATAAAATTACACAGAAAATTACCCCCTCTGGGGCAGTTTGTGATGCTAGAACTAATTCTTCACTAGAAATAAAAGCTAGGGAAGGAGTGTAACTCACAGCCTTCATCATGGTGGTGGTTGAGATTGACTCTGAGTTCTACACTCAACTTCACTCAATATATATACCAGCCTCACACAATGACAACCACCGACACAGACCAGGAAAAACGCAACGAGCATCCGGACTTAGAACACTTTCCTCTGGTGACCTCGAAGTCAGGCAGACACAAGCACAGACTATACAAGATATTACGTTATTAATGTGGATATTCGTGTGAGTTGTATACATCAAGGGTATAACAGCAAGCACTATAGCAGACTAGAACACGGGAAGGTATCCCTCAGTAGGTATAACAACAAGCACTACAGCAGAGTAGAGCACATGAAGGTATCCCTCAGTAGGTATAACAACAAGCACTAGCAGACTAGAACACGTGAAGGTATCCCTCAGTGGGTATAACAACAAGCACTACATCAGAGTAGAGCACAGGAAGGTATCCCTCAGTATATAACAACAAGCACTATAGCAGACTAGAACACGTGAAGGTATCCCTCAGTGGGTATAACAACAAGCACTACATCAGAGTAGAGCACAGGAAGATATCCTTCAGTAGGTATAACAATAAGCACTATAGCAGACTAGAACACGCGAAGGCATCCCTCAGTAGGTATAACAATAAGCACTATAGCAGACTAGAACACGCGAAGGTATCCCTCAGTAGGTATAACAACAAGCACTACAGCAAACTAAAGCACGTGAAGGTATCCATCAATGGGTATAACAACAAGCGCTACAGCATACTAGAACACAAAAAGTATATCCCCTCAAGAGTGTAGCAACAAGCACTACGGCAGAACAGTATTCCTTAGAGGTATAGCAACCAGCAATACAGCAGAACAGCACACAGAAGAACATTACAGCTGGATAAATGTGCTGTTGTACTCTAACAAACACCAAGGACAGGGTACCAGATACCTGGAGTATACCTGGAGGGTGTTCGGGGGTCAACGCCCCCCGCGACACCGAAGCAAGACCAGGCTAGCTGACAGAATTTGTGAGAAAATAAAAAGGCTGAAAGGACTCTCCAATTCTACTCAAAATTCTTCTCTCTCTCTCTCTCTCTCTCTCTCTCTCTCTCTCTCTCTCTCTCTCTCTCTCTCTCTCTCTCTCTCTCTCTCTCTCTCTCTCTCTCTCTCTCTCTCTCTCTCTCTCTCTCTCTCTTCTCTCTCTCTCTCTCTCTCTCTCTCTCTCTCTCTCTCTCTCTCTCTCTCTCTCTCTCTCTCTCCTCTCTCTCTCTCTCTCTCTCTCTCTAGATACCATTGGTATCCTTCCTATATTACAATTTTCAACAATTGATATTCTTCCATACTACGTTTGTAATATATTTCTCAAAATCCACTATAAAGTCTTTTACACTGCCGTGATATGGCCAATAAACTCCCCCCATAAAATGTCTGTCTATGACAATGGTATCACCCGTACGGGTTCACTACTACAATTGCAGTATTTTCAGTGTTGATTGTGATTTAGCAAGTCTCATAGTTTAGTGTTTATTTTGTCGTGGAAAATTGAGACACTTATGCAACATGTGGGAATCTTTATTAAGGAGACGTTTACCCACACAGTGGCATCATCAGTCCAATACAGAGCAGAGAGAGGGTAAAGAGACGAGGAGTCTGAGGTAATCTGTCCCTCAGCCAGGCTGAGGGACTGATTGCTGTTATACCCTCAGGGGTATAACAACAAGCAACACAACAGACTAGAACACGTAAAGGTATCCCTCAGTAGTATAACAACAAGCACTACAGCAGACTAGAACACAAGAAGGTATCCCTCAGTAGCATAACAACAAGCACTGCAGCAGACTAGAACACAAGAAGGTATCCCTCAGTAGCATAACAACAAGCACTGCAGCAGACTAGAACACAAGAAGGTATCCCCCAGTAGCATAACAACAAGCACTGCAGCAGACTAGAACACAAGAAGGTATCCCCCAGTAGCATAACAACAAGCACTGCAGCAGACTAGAACACAAGAAGGTATCCCCCAGTAGCATAACAACAAGCACTGCAGCAGACTAGAACACAAGAAGGTATCCCTCAGTGGCATAACAACAAGCACTGCAGCAGACTAGAACACAAGAAGGTATCCCTCAGTAGCATAACAACAAGCACTGCAGCAGACTAGAACACAAGAAGGTATCCCTCAGTAGCATAACAACAAGCACTGCAGCAGACTAGAACACAAGAAGGTATCCCTCAGTAGCATAACAACAAGCACTGCAGCAGACTAGAACACAAGAAGGTATCCCTCAGTGGCATAACAACAAGCACTGCAGCAGACTAGAACACAAGAAGGTATCCCCCAGTAGCATAACAACAAGCACTGCAGCAGACTAGAACACAAGAAGGTATCCCCCAGTAGCATAACAACAAGCACTGCAGCAGACTAGAACACAAGAAGGTATCCCTCAGTGGCATAACAACAAGCACTGCAGCAGACTAGAACACAAGAAGGTATCCCTCAGTAGCATAACAACAAGCACTGCAGCAGACTAGAACACAAGAAGGTATCCCTCAGTGGCATAACAACAAGCACTGCAGCAGACTAGAACACAAGAAGGTATCCCCCAGTAGCATAACAACAAGCACTGCAACAGACTAGAACACAAGAAGGTATCCCTCAGTAGCATAACAACAAGCACTGCAGCAGACTAGAACACAAGAAGGTATCCCTCAGTGGCATAACAACAAGCACTGCAGCAGACTAGAACACAAGAAGGTATCCCTCAGTGGAATAACAACAAGCACTGCAGCAGACTAGAACACAAGAAGGTATCCCTCAGTGGCATAACAACAAGCACTGCAGCAGACTAGAACACCAGAAGGTATCCCTCAGTAGCATAACAACAAGCACTGCAGCAGACTAGAACACAAGAAGGTATCCCTCAGTGGCATAACAACAAGCACTGCAGCAGACTAGAACACCAGAAGGTATCCCTCAGTAGCATAACAACAAGCACTGCAGCAGACTAGAACACAAGAAGGTATCCCTCAGTGGCATAACAACAAGCACTGCAGCAGACTAGAACACCAGAAGGTATCCCTCAGTAGCATAACAACAAGCACTACAACAGACTAGAACTCGGGAAAGCATCCTCTCAAAAGTACAACAACAAACACTACAGCATAACAGAACACAGAGAAGATATTACAGCTGATTAAGTATGCTGTAGTACTCTCACCCACAGCGCCATCTACGTCTACCTCTCCCAGGCATACATCTACAGAAACTACGTCCACAAAACACACTCTAGGATCAACACAGACGGGAAGTCCAACCCTCTGATGTTCCTGCCACACACACTATATTACACTCCTGAAGACACTTTCAAAACTTACATTCATCCTTTAAACCCTGCAAGTCCCTCAAAAAAAAAAAAATCTGCTGAATATGTGAAAGCCTAAGGCCCACCAATGGATGGCTTTCCCCATTCAGGATTATTCCAAGGACGCCACCAAGACCATGTCCGTAGCACATCAAGGTCCCGTGACGAGTAGCGAAGAATCAAGGCAAGGAAGAACAAGTGTAGTGTCCTCATCGCTTCTTATTATTATTATTATTATTATTATTATTATTATTATTATTATTATTATTATTATTATTATTATTATTATTATTATTATTATTATTATTATTATTACTGCTTCTATTACGATTATTCTATGCCTTTGGATACCCAACAAATCGTCTTGAATATTAACCTCATTACCAGCTCACAACTCCAGGATACAATACCAGATCACAACTTCAGTGCCACGATACTTAGACGACAGTACTGACCCACAAGACCACAGCTCTGCGACGGCAGGAAGTCCATAAAATATGGTAACACGGTTACCTTGTTAAATACGGAAGTCGTTATTATAATACTCCGGAAAAAAATAGCTGAATGAGGGGTATATACCCCGAGAGGTGTATGTCTCGTCTCTCGGTATATGGAAGCTTGGAGATTACATGAATCCCCCATTTTTTTAAGAGATATTAGTATTCTTGACTGGTAGTGTGCAACTTTCACATGTGTTCCATCTACTGGCTTACATGTCCACTGGTTTACATTTCCACTGGCTTACATGTCCACTGGTTTACATTTCCACTGGCTTACATGTCCACTGGTTTACATTTCCACTGGCTTACATGTCCACTGGTTTACATTTCCACTGGCTTACATGTCCACTGGTTTACATTTCCACTGGCTTACATGTCCACTGGTTTACATTTCCATTGGCTTACATGTTCTCTGGTTTACATATCCACTGGCTTACATGTCCACTGGTTTACATATCCACTGGCTTACATGTCCACTGGTTTACACATCCACTGGCTTACATGTCCACTGGTTTACACATCCACTGGCTTACATGTCCACTGGTTTACATATCCACCGGCTTACATGTCCACTGGTTTACATGTCCACTGGTTTACATATCCACTGGCTTACATGTCCACTGGTTTACATATCCACTGGCTTACATGTCCACTGGTTTACATATCCACCGGCTTACATGTCCACTGGTTTACATATCCACCGGCTTACATGTCCACTGGAGTGAACACGTAAGCCAGTGGAAGGAACTAAGCAACCGAATGAAAACATCCACATCATCTTCAGACTAAATCCTCACGTCTAGGTAATTTATCATTCTCCCTCCGTCTAGTTAACAATATATCAACCACCACAACCCATCATTTCTAGGTTGACAAGGGAAGCAATTAGTCACAGTTATTAGAGTTTATTACAAATAATGAAGTGGTAAATACAGAAATGTGAACAACAGCTTAGGTTCTGTGGGAGGACCATATGACGCAGAGAGGTCCCACCAGCCACCTCCTCACAGGACTGGAAGGACCACTGGAACAGTCTTGGCTACCTGGACGGCCATTACTCTCCTGGAAACAGAAGATTATCGTTATATCTTTTGCTTTTCATAAATAATGAAGTAGAAGATAAATTATCATAGTTTATATTCGTTACTATAGAGGATTGTTAAGAGTGGATTGTGTTTATCTTTTTTTTCAAGAATTATTCAACACTGTTTAACTTATAAAGAAGATTGTAACAAAATAGTCTTCCTACCTTATCGTCCATATCCATAGCCGCCATATCCACCGCCATAGCCGCCATATCCACCGCCATAGCCGCCATATCCACCACCGTAGCCACCATATCCACCAACATAACCGCCATATCCGCGACGGAAGCCACCATGTCCTCCATATCCACCACCGTAGCCACCATAGCCACCACCATAGCCGCCACCATAGCCACCACCATAACCACCATAGCGACGATAGCCAGGTTCAGGCATGGGACTGGCCAAGGCAGAGGCCACAAGGACGAAGATGGACAACACAGCTAACACCTGCAACATAATAATAATAATAATAATAATAATAATAATAATAATAATAATAATAATAATAATAATAATAATAATAATAATAATAATAATAATAATAATAATAACAACAACAACAACAACAACAGAATTTAACAATTATTCTTGTAAAATGTTCACTAACTTTCACACTTTAAATACAAGCATTTAAGTGAAGCATTATACACGAAATCATATAAGAAATGCTTCTGAAAGATTTATATAACTATTAATAAGTCATATCTCTACGAGAGTACATTCTCAAGACATTATTACTCCCGTAGAATCAATTATAGACAATCTACAACAATCGAAATTATGTTAAAGGCTGATCAAAGGAGTGTAACTCACAGCCTTGATCATGGTGGTGGTTGAGATTGACTCTGAGCACCACACTCAACCTCACTCAATATATATACCAGCCTCACACAATGACACCCACAGACACACACCAGGGCAAAAAATTTAGACAAAAGCACTTTCCTGTGATGACCTCCAGACAGGTGCACACAAACACCTCCAGACAGGTGCACACAAACACCTCCAGACAGGTTCACACAAACACCTCCAGACAGGTGCACACAAACACCTCCAGACAGGTGCACACAAACACCTCCAGACAGGTTCACACAAACACCTCCAGACAGGTGCACACAAACACCTCCAGACAGGTGCACACAAACACCTCCAGACAGGTGCACACAAACACCTCCAGACAGGTGTACACAAACACCTCCAGACAGGTGCACACAAACACCTCCAGACAGGTTCACACAAACACCTCCAGACAGGTGCACACAAACACCTCCAGACAGGTGTACACAAACACCTCCAGACAGGTGTACACAAACACCTCCAGACAGGTGTATAACAGGAAGCAACACAACACTTAGGTGTATAACAGGAAGCAACACAACACTTAGGTGTATAACAGGAAGCAACACAACACTTAGGTGTATAACAGGAAGCAACACAACACTTAGGTGTATAACAGGAAGCAACACAACACTTAGGTGTATAACAGGAAGCAACACAACACTTAGGTGTATAACAGGAAGCAACACAACACTTAGGTGTATAACAGGAAGCAACACAACACTTAGGTGTATAACAGGAAGCAACACAACACTTAGGTGTATAACAGGAAGCAACACAGCACTTAGGTGTATAACAGGAAGCAACACAGCACTTAGGTGTATAACAGGAAGCAACACAACACTTAGGTGTATAACAGGAAGCAACACAGCACTTAGGTGTATAACAGGAAGCAACACAGCACTTAGGTGTATAACAGGAAGCAACACAACACTTAGGTGTAGGTAGACTCTGTGCCACATTAATTAATGTCGAGCCTTAATGACCCTCATGTAGTAGGTAGACTCTGTGCCCCATTAATTAATGTCGAGCCTTAATGACCCTCGTGTAGTAGGTAGACTCTGTGCCCCATTAATTAATGTCGAGCCTTAATGACCCTCGTGTAGTAGGTAGACTCTGTGCCACATTAATTAATGTCGAGCCTTAATGACCCTCGTGTAGTAGGTAGACTCTGTGCCACATTAATTAATGTCGAGCCTTAATGACCCTCGTGTAGTAGGTAGACTCTGTGCCACATTAATTAATGTCGAGCCTTAATGACCCTCGTGTAGTAGGTAGACTCTGTGCCCCATTAATTAATGTCGAGCCTTAATGACCCTCGTGTAGTAGGTAGACTCTGTGCCACATTAATTAATGTCGAGCCATAATGACCCTCGTGTAGTAGGTAGACTCTGTGCCACATTAATTAATGTCGAGCCTTAATGACCCTCGTGTAGTAGGTAGACTCTGTGCCACATTAATTAATGTCGAGCCTTAATGACCCTCGTGTAGTAGGTAGACTCTGTGCCACATTAATTAACCTTTTGTAAAATATTCTACCTGGGAAGAAATATTTAAGATATTATTGACCCATAAGACTCAGTGAAAAAAATATGTAAGTTGTGCAGATCAGCCGAAATAAGTTATGCCACACGCTGCAGGATGGTCCTCAATCCTCACTCACATAGTTGACAGGATCCTCACTTGTTACCCTAAGATGCTGATGGAGTCTTCTATTCATCTAAGAGTTGACAGGGCTTTCAGTTCTTCCCCAGGGAGCTGATAGAGGTTTCTATGCTCACTCACAATGAGGACAGAGCCCTTAGTCCGGGTCCAGAGAGCTGACATAGTTCTCAGTCCTCACTCGAAAACCTGACAGTCTCTAGTCCTCATCCAAAGACCTGACAGAGGATTCAGTCCTACCTCTGAGGGCTGAGTGATAGTTACCTTATACCTGTTGTCCCTGTTCACCTAGCAGTAAGTTGGTACCTGGGTGTTAGTCACCTTACACCTGTTGTCCCTGTTAACCTAGCAGTAAGTTGGTACCTGGGTGTTAGTCACCTTACACCTGTTGTCCCTGTTCACCTAGCAGTAAGGAAGTACCTGGGTGTTAGTCACTTTACACCTGCTGTCCCTGTTCACCTAGCAGAAAGCAGGTACCTGGGTGTTAGTAAGCTGTCTTGGATCGCATCCTGGGGACATTAACCTAACCTAACCTAGCAATACTTCCTATCTGAAATAGGCCTTTCGCGCGGCCTACATCAAATATTTACTAACAATATCTAGGCCTACGGCTTTTTTTTCTGAGTGGGAGGCATTACTTTTTTTCACTTTGGCCGCCAATTTCATTTGATATATACGAAAATTCCCACACGTGTTGGGAAATTCCCACACGTGTTGGGAAATTCCCACACGTGTTGGGAAATTCCTACACGTGTTGGGAAATTCCCACACGTGTTGGGAAATTCCCACATGTTGGCTACAGTGATAATTAGTGTTCTGAGAACAATGAGCCACGAAAATGATCATAATAAGAATGACTACAGCAATGTTTATTATTATTATTACTATAATTATTATTATTATTATTATTATTATTATTATTATTTATTATTATAATTATTATTATTATTATTATTATTATTATTATTATTATTTTTATTATTATTATTATTTTTATTATTATTATTATTATTAATACAACTACTATTACCACTACCATTACTACTTTTATTACCACCACTACTACCACCACTACTACCACCACTACTACCACCACTACCACCACTACTACCACCACTACTACCACCACTACCACCACTACTACCACCACTACTACCACCACTACTATCACTACTACTACCACTACTACTACCACTACTACTACCACCACTACTACCACCACTACTACCACTACTACCACCACTACTACCACCACCACTACTACCACCACTACCACCACTACTACCACCACTACTACCACCACTACTACCACCACTACTACCACTACTACTACCACTACTACTACCACGAGACTATTGAGGGATGATCCATCCTTATTTAATAAAGTACAAAACATCCCACATCACAATAAGATTTTAAACCAAACTAACAAAAGTCCCACGAAGCGAAGCCTTTCAAAACTCAGTGATTTTCCTGACGAACAAAACACCGCCATTAAGACCCGTCACATATATAAAGGCTTTTAAGAAAAACATGTTGCATGATTAGTCGTAGTAATTAGTTTATTTTGATACAATTAGAATCGTGTAAGTCACGAAAGGGGAGCCCCGGGCCAGGTGTTGTGACAACATATTGGGTCAGTGGTCCCAGGGGTCTTAGAAGACCTTACAGAGGTAGTGGTCCCAGGGGTCTTAGACGACCATACAGAGGTAGTGGTCCCAGGGGTCTTAGAAGACCTTACAGAGGAAGTGGTCCCAGGAGTCTTAGAAGATCTTACAAAGGTAGTGGTCCCAGGGGTCTTAGACGACCATACAGAGGTAGTGGTCCCAGGGGTCTTAGATGACCATACAGAGGTAGTGGTCCCAGGGGTCTTAGACAACCACACAGAGGTAGTGGTCCCAGCGGTCTTAGACAACCATACAGAGGTAGTGGTCCCAGGGGTCACCTCCTCACAAGACTACTAGGACCACGGGACCATCTCACAAGCC